TGGTTATTTTAAGGGCTTCCATAAGCATTACAGCAGCAGTGGCAGCTGACTATAGGCAGGGTGGCCAGCCTAGGATAGTGGGATCAAGTTGTTTAGACAGAAAGGCAGCCGGATTTGGGCTGGCCCCTGAGTCAGAATGGCAGCTGCAGCTCCCCCAAGCTGTATAGTGTACAGGCAGAAAGGCTCAGTAAGGTCCAGCAAGTATAGACCAGGAGCTGTCTTTAGGGTACCTTTTAAGTTCTGGAAAAAGGAGTTTTTATGTTCTAAAGGCTCCATTGGGTCTCCTTTTGTAAGTTTGTACAAGGGTTTGGTAAGGAGGACAAAACTGGGAGATGAAAATCCAGAGATGAAAGTGTCCCTTACCTCAATATGCATACATTTTCCTTAAAAAAAGTATCCCTCCACCCCTTGAATGGAGAGAAGTTGTTTAGTGGTGTCCCCACTTGGTATCTGAGAAATAAACTGGACATTATCAAGGGGAAGGCCTTGAGTGTGTTTATGAAGGATAATGACACACAGAGAGTAAAACTTGGCCTTAGAAGGGGACAACATAGAATCCCTCTAAATGTTGTAAAATCAGTAGATGTCTCTTTTGGAGGATTCACAAGAAGGGCTAAAGAGGAGGAGGTCATCTATATATTGTATAAGAAGGGAAATGGATGAGAAAAAGGAGAGCAAGTCATGAGTTAGGGCCTGTCCAAAACAGTGAGGTCCATCCCAAAAAACCTGAGATAAAACAGTCCAGGTTAGGTGTTAGGACTGATGAGTGTGAGTCTGTCCAGGTGAAGGCAGAGAAAGACCGTGAAGAAGGGTAGTGCTCCTACGTGAGAGGCATGGCTCAAAGTAATCTGGGCTGTGGGCATTCCCTAGCCTAATGACTGAGTTGGTGGCATTCAAAGCATGGCCCTGGAAGTGTGCCCTTGGGCATAGAGGCTTTGGAGGAACCTTTGGCTGTTGGCTGGGATTTTAGTTCAGCTTATAGGTTTCTTACAGTGGAGGCAAACAGCCAAAACTCAGACATGCACTATTTAGGGCAACTTTGTTCCTATTATTGAAGACCTTGAAGGCCAGATTTATTAACTCCTGCTGTGAGGTCTGAGGGCCAGCCTCCAGTTTCTAGTTTTTTTTTGTTTTTTGTTTTTTCCAAATGTTGTGGGAAGACAGGATAATGAGATACATCTTTGGGGCTGAGGATTTAGCTCAGTGGTGCCATCACTTGCCTCACAAGCACAAGGTCCCAAGTTCCATCCCTGGTACACACACACACAAAAAAGACATCTTATAAAAAGTTGGTATTCTGGACCTCCTGGGACCACAGCTATATAACCCCTGAAGGTAGCACCCAAATGGACAGTGAATTGGGCTGTATTTTCATCCTTTGTCTAAGTGGTTTCTTTAAGTCTATCATAATTAATTGCCTGGTATGTGGAGTCCTTCAGCTAAGCAAGTAAACCATATTGTTATGGCTCTTCAGAGCCTGGGACTCTCCTATTATCCAGCTGGATAAAATCCTGGTTAGAGGTGACGTGGCACCTTCCTGAAGGTTAGGCTCAAGGTGTCTGCAGTCATCTGTGGAAGCCTGGGCTGGAGACCAAACTCATTCTTACTCCTCAGATAAGAGGGTTGAGGTGAGGGTAAGATTCACTCAGTTAAGGTCATAAGACTGAGTGAGATATTAGAACTCTGAAATATATCTAGTGGGGTCTGTGACAAAGCCCAGATGGTGATTATTTTGAGAAAGAGCAGACATGGAGAAGGGACTCGAATTCTGCTCTCTGCTCCTGCCACCTCTGAGTGGAACTGGGAAGCAGAGGGTAGGGAACGGGCACTAAACTGTAGTCTGGATCAGGTATGTGGCAGGGTTGGTAAAGTAGAGCGTAAGGAAGAGGCTTAGAATCAGGGAGTAGTGTTGGACTGGCAAGAAGCTCTGAGGGAGAGGGGAGGTGACTGGGAGGTGAATGCGGCACCTTGGTGAGAGGCTTGGCAGGAGGAGGAGAGTAGCTGAAGGTGCAGGACAGAAGGTCACTGGGTCTGTGGTCAGGGACAAGTTGGCATCAGAGGGGATGGGAGCAGGTGTGGAAAGAGAGGGAGGAGAGGGTTTGAGAGGGGTCGCATGAAGAGCACAGAGCGGGAAAATTTCAGAGTGTGAAAAAAAGCCTCGACATATGGCACTTCAGACCATTTTTCCAGCTTAGGATAATAGTTATCCAGATCTCGCAGAACAGAGAAATTGAGAGTACCATCCTCTGGGCACTGAGAGCCATTGTCCAATTTGTATTGTGGCCATGCTGTGTTACAGGAAAACATCAGGCATGTGGGCTTCAGATCAGGGGAGAAATGAAGAGGTTCGAGATTTTGTAGGCTGCAGGCTAGAGGAAATCTGGAGGGATGGATGGAAGGTTCCCCACTGAGTACAAAAGGTCTTTCAGCGGACATCTCCAACCAGGGCTCCAGGCTGTAAAATATGAGCGAATGGCCAAGCTGGACATCTCTGCTGTTGGCTGGAAGCCGAAGGGAAGCAGTCTTCTTGGGAGTCCTCTTCATGACCGGCTCTGTAGTTCAAAGGCACCAAAAGCAGGGCGAGATTCTCTCTGTCTCTGTGAGTGGAAGATGAAAAGCAGGGGAGAAGGAGAGAGAGAGAGTGGGAGGCTTACCCGAGCTGAAGCACCTGACGAGATCTGGCACGGCCAGAGCTGTAAGAACTGAAGTCTGAGGAGTGGATGTCACTGGGTGGTCCCAGCGGAGCAGGGGATTCAGGATAGGGCTTGAAGATTCTGAAGTGGGGTACCCTACCCCAAGTTTTAGCTCCAGATGTGACAATCAGCACAAGAATGAGACCACCCAAGCAGGCTTGTAAGAAGGCAACTTGGCACAAGGTTTTTTGTTTTTGTTTTTTTTGAGACAGGGTCTCACTATGTAGTGAGACTGACCTGGAACTCACTATGTAGCTCAGGCTGGTCTCGAACTCACAGCGATCCTCCTGCCTCAGCCTCCCGAGTGCTGGGATTACAGGTGTGCACCACCATGCCCAGCCTTTTGAATCTTTTTTTTTTTTTTTTGGCGCAAGGTTTATTTTACCTGGGTGCAGGCAGCTCTGACTGAGAGCAACAGAGCAATTGTTTCCCAAATGAAGAAAGGCAGGGAGTTTTTTAGGATCTGAAAAGAAGAGCAATCACATAGAGGGGCCAGGGCAGGCATCTGTGGTCAGGGTTCTCAGAAGGGCTGATGCAGATCTAGAGATGTTATCAGACTCTCTGGCGCCGAGAGGGTCTGGGGCTTCAGCTCTTCTTCCTGACATCCCATTCTGTTTGTCCAGACAAAGCTTTTCGGTGTTGGTCGAGGGCAGCATGTTTGTTTGCTACAGCTGCTTTTTGCTAACACATAGCGCTTACTGGGAAAGTCACGCCCAGGGCCAGCCTGACACTCACTGGCTTCAAGAATAAAGGGGCACAGGGAGCCTGAAGAGACCAGGGGCTCCGTGCGCAGACCTGGGCCCAGGCATTGTGCATCCGGTTCCGTGGCCTCTGCTCCCCATATGTGATTAAGTCCTTGAATTCACTGTTGATCTGCTTATTTTATCTTCTTGGCTCCCTCATGAATGAATTAAGTATGATCTTTGGTGTGTTCTCATTTTGTATTATATGAAAGACATGATGTTTACTTTTTTATTTTTTGGTACCGGGGATCAAACTCAGGGCGTAGATGCATGACGTTTACTTTTGAAAATATCTTTTACCATTAGGTACACATGGCAAACACTTTTCTACATATTTTATGCATTCATGTTACAAGCATAGACAGGACATATTTTTATATGCTGCGTGCTGTTTTAAGTACTTTACAAATGTTAACAAATTCACCCTTTTTAAGAGGATTTTTCACTTAAACTTTTTAGTCCCATCTCATGAAAGCAGAGAAGCTCAGAGTCTCGCCTGAGTTTGTGTCATCATCAAACGTCAGGTGTGAGGCTGAGGCGGGCAATCTTTCCAGCCTCGGGAGCTCGCTGGTGTGGACTAATGTTTGTGCTCCTCTGGGTCACATGTCGAGGCCCCATATGATGCTGTGTTTAACAGGTGGGCATCAGAGTGACTGGCATTAGGTGAGGTAATGAGGGTGCAGTTCCTAAGAATGACCAGGGAGCCCGCTGTCTCCACCGCTGAGCTTCATATCCCAGTCCCTTATTTTTTACTTAGAGTCAGGGTGTCGCTAAGTTGCTGAGTTGCCCATGTTGGGCTTGAACTTGTGATCCTCCTGCCTCAGCCTCCCACAGCGCTAGCATTTTTGGCACAGTTACTGTGTCCAACTGGGAACTGCATCTCTAAAGAGCAAAAACAACTGTGGTGGAGACAGAAGGAGCTGTGATGACTGAATTCTATAGAAGGAGCCCCATCTGTGAAGGCTGTAGCCCCGAGGTGGGCTGTGGCCTGGCTATGTGTGTGTGCTGGTTCCCACTGGAGGTCTAGTAACAGGGTCTCTTCTGCCCCGAGGGCCCTCTTCCTCTCAGAACGTGTAGCCTAGGTTTTTTTTTAAAGTACAGTCTCTATATTGCGGGGAGTAGGCGTGGCAGTGGGGGTAGCATGGGGCAAGGCAGAGGGTAAAGTTGGAGTCTGCTAGACCTGGGTTCCATTTAGTGGGTGAATAAAGTGAGAATAGGTTTAATTAGCGTGGAAAATCTCCTTCCCACTTTTCCACAGGAGATGAGAAAGGTCTTAGCAAATCCTGAAGGGTGAGTTGGGAGAGCTAGGGATGCTGGGGCCTGGTGCCTCGGAGGGTGGGCAGAGAAGACAGCCTAAAGGCGGGCTGATCCCGCCTGCACCTGCAGTGGCCCTGAGAGACACCGAGTAACAGGTCAGGAGCCGGCAGAAACCGGGTAGGGAGTGTGACTGGCAGCCACAGGCTTGCCGGCTTTCCTGGTTTCTGTTCTAAGTGCAAGGGTTACTTGGCAGCTTGAATCCGCCCTTTTTTGTTTCTGTATAAGGGAGGGAGGTCCGGCTCACAAATCCCTAAGCACTTCCGGTCTTCTACTCACTTCCTACAAAGAGTTCCCTGAACCAGGGCCTCCGCGGGAGCCATGGCAGGGAATACGATCCTGCTGGCTGCTGTCTCTGTCCTTTCTGCTTGTCAGCAAAGTAAGAGCCACGGGCTTGTGTGTGTGTGTGTTTGTGTGTGTGTGTGTGTGTGTGTGAGAGAGAGAGAGAGAGAGAGAGAGAGAGAGAGAGAGAGAGAGAGAAAATGGGAGAGAGGGAGAGAGGGAGAGAGATCTGTTCTTTGTTTGAGCTTCTCATTGCCAGGGTCCCGGCCAGGGTCATCTGATGGCTTTCTCCCCAGGACAGGCAGAGATTAGGTGCATTCCAGAGATTAGTCCTCCCGGCAGGGACATCTGTCGTGGGCCCTCAGAGCTCAGTGACTTGGTGCAATCCACGGAGATGCCCACAGCCAGTTTGCATGAGCACTGGCCCCAGGGATGTTGCTCAGCCAGGGGAGTGAGGCCTGAACATTAAACACAAGTGTTCCTGCTTCTAAGCCCAACCTAGGTTTCTTGGAACCTGATCTTTTAATTAATGTGTTTTCTTAAATAAACTGCCTATGGCAGGTCTGATCAAGTTAAAACAAATCTCTAGCAGAAACAGCTTTAAACGAAGTAATTAATTCTAAATATTAAAACCACCTTCCCACTAGGATCGCTCAGTATCTGGACTGCCTAGTTAAAGGAGGGCTATTTCTCCACAGTTACTCAATTCAGGGCATCTCCCCTACCCAGGAGGGAGGGGAAGGGGCGGAGCAGGGCTCCCTGTCTGGGATTCGCACTTTTTTTTTCTTGCCAAGTGTGCCTGACCCAGAAAGCAGGCCCAGCAGTGGGCAGCTCCAGTCCCATGCAGCCCGGGGTGTGGTGACGCCACAGTTAGTGTCCAGGCCTCTACGCGCACAGCACAGCGCCTTGTCTTGCTTGTCTGTTTTGTGAACGTGTGAAAACCTCAGGCACACGTCTTGTTGTTTCACTCACCGTCGTCTGTGTAGTACAGTGTGATGTTTGTTACAACTACAGAAGTGCTTCAGTCTAAAGCGATGCGTCCTGACCAATCCTTGCTTTGGGACACTGGCTGTTGTGGGGGAAAGGTGTGCCAGAGGCCAGGGGCTTGAGGGCAGGGAGGGCGGGGAAGGCGAGAGAGGCGGGAGGCTGGGTGGAGCAGACTCACGACGGAGCTGAGATCCAGAATTTGCCACTTTTTCTGGAGTCAAGATACGAGTCTCATGGTAAGGACAGCTCAGGTTTTCAAGACAGACTCCTGTGGGCTGTCGGCACCAGGCATCTGTCCCTAGGACCGAGGGTGAGAAGCGCCCACTAGGGAGAAGCCAGGATGAGGCGGTGCTGCCTCGGGGAAGGAACCCAGCTGTGGCCAGGCTGCTGGGCATCGCGGGGGGTGGGGGGGGAACTGGGCGTCACCAGCAGCCGGGCGTCTCCCTGAAGAAAGCCGGGGAAGAGGAAGGACAGGAAGGGCAAAAGATCATGATCCTCAAGTGGTTAGAAGGAAAATGAAATGGAAGCTTCCAGAAAAAAGGTGTAATAGCTCGCGACCCTCAGTGCCCGAAGCTGAGTGGGCCCCTCTCCTGGGGCAGGTTGGAGGCTGGCGCACCCTGTTCCTTTCTCACATTTGCTGCCGCGGCAGACAGATGCCTGCCGGGCACAATTCCCAACCTGGAGAAAGGCAGGACTTTCAGAGCTCTCACCTCCCCACAGCTTCGTTCTGAGGCCCTAGGCAGCTCCTGCCCCACCGTGAATGGATCCGTCTAGGTGCATGCGCTGTTTCTGTTCTGTAGAGGGAAGGAGAGGCCCGGTAGCGAAGCAGGTTGGGGGGAATGGGACCAAGGTCCCCTGCTCTTGGTTCCAGCCTCGGCCCTGAAGGGATGCAGCCTGTTGGGAAGAAGCCCGGCCCGCCCCACAGTTCCCTGTGGGCCAGAGACCCCTGCAGTAAGTCTAGTCCCCACCTGCCCAGTGTGCGGTGCACGCCTGAGAAAAAAGTACACTAAGAGACAGAACTAAGACAGGAAGCGGTGCCAGGACAAGCCGGGCCGGTGCAACCGACAAAGGCTCTGGCCAGTCCCAGGAACTGACTTTTATTGGCGTTAACTGGGGTAAAGGCGATGAGCAGTTTCTGTAGAAATTCATGTAAACAAGGCTCATAAAGGACAAGACAAAGCATTCTGGAATTAGGAATAGAATAGACAAAAATAGATGGTTGTAATGAACTCTTTACAGCCTGCTTTGGGCATAATCAGTATCACGGTCCTCTACACCTGTCCTCCTGCTGCTGTCTTGTGGAGCAGTTAGAAAGAGAGGACACTGTCTTAGGCAATTATACACTTAGGTGTTCAGCCAGAGTGCTGCGATCCTAAACTGCAGCGTCTTTGCAGCCGAAGAGGATTACAGGGAAGGGAAGGCGGGTGCAGCTGGAGCTGACTGTCTGGCGAGGGCAGAGAGGAAGCAAACCGCACCCGGGACTCCAGCATGAGATAGTACTGGAGCTTCAGACTGGTGCACAACTTTTCTTTTCTTTTCATGCAGTGCTGGGGACAGAACCTAGGGCCTCAAGCATTGGAGGCAAGTGCTATACCACTGGGCTATGTCCACAGCCCTTGGTGGAATTTTAAGAGGAAATTCTTTTTTTTTTGAGATAAGATTTCCTTAAGTTACCCAGGCTGGGTTTGAACTTGCAATCCTCCTGCCTTAGCCTCTCAGGGTGCTGGGAGGGAACTGTTTTTAAAACATTAGCAAGTAGCAGATGGATGTTGAGACACTAAAATGAGTCAGAAAATGACGTTGGAGGGAATTGGTAAAGATCAGAAACGAAGAAATAATCTGAAGGGAAATGATAGACCCCAAGAGCTAATTGTGCCATGAAAAGGGGTGAAGATAGGAAGTGAGGACGGAGGGTGGAAGATTCAGGAACCACCAAAGGAGGAAGTGAGGGCTGGAGAGAGAAGGAAGTCCCCGGATGGAATCATGAGGCACAGACGACCCAGGCACTGGAAGCTGATGATCTAACATGACTTCCACCTCACAACAGAGGAGAAGAAAGCCGTGCCATGCAATAACAGGGAAACTGAGGCAGGCAGGGAGCCATTATCCCCAAGGGTTTTCCCCGTTTCCCTCTCTCCCAGCCTCTCCTCCTCATCTCCAAGTAACCACCGATGGGCTTTATTCAGCTACATTGTTGAGATTTTATGTAAATGACGTGACACAGTAGTACTCTTTTTATTCTTGCTTTCCTTTTCATGATCATTTTGAGATTCATTCACGTTATTTTGCATATCAATAGTCCATTCCTTTTTTGTTTCAGGAAGTAACCCTTTGCATGCACAGGTCACAGTTTTATCCACTCACTTACTGATGGGTAGGCATATCGGTCAGGGTTTTGCAGGAAAATAGAAACAGTAGGATATGCTGTTTTACACACACATACATTGGCTCATGTGATTGCGGGGAGGCTGGCAAGTCTGAAATCTGCAGGGCAGGCTGGAAGGCTGGAAATTGTGTCCAAAATTGATGTTGCAATCCTAAATTGAAGGCAATTGGAAGCAGAATTCTTTCCTTTTTGGGGGACTTTGGTCTTGCCTTTTTAATTCATCAACTGATTGGACAAGGCCCACCCTACATTAGGGAGAGTGATTTACTTTACTCGTTTAAAAATGAATCATATCTAAAAAAAAAAAAAAAACCCTTTCAGCAACAGGTAGACTGGTGTTTGACTAGACAGCATTCAATAGCCTGAAAAATTAACACATAAAATTAACCGTCCTAAAGTACTTTCTAGGGCCGGGATTTAGCTCAGCGGTTTGGTGGCCTGCCTTGCAAGCGCAAGGACCTGAGTTCAATCCTGGGTACCAAAAAAACAAAATAAAACAAAACAAAACCTAAAGTACTTTCTAGTTTTGGGCTATTATAAATAAAGCTGCTGGGGCTGGGGATTTAGCTCAGCTGCCCGCCTTGCAAGTGCAAGGGCCTGAGTTTGATCCCTGGTAACAAAACCAAAACCAAAACAAACCCCCAAATAAATAAATAGATAAAGCTGCTATATAGGCCTTTCTACAGACATGTGATTTCATTTGTTTTGGGTTAATACTTATGGGCAGAGGGACAGAGTTAAATCCCTTGCAAACTGTTTTTCAAAGTGGTTGTACCATTTTCCATTCCTTCTGGCCTCATGTGGGGCTTCTAGTTGCTCTCACATCCTCGCGGGACTATGTGTCTTCTACTCGGTTTAAATTTACCTTTCCCTGACGACTAATGATGAGCCACACCTTCACCACAGCGTTCTCTTTCCTTGCAGGTTATTTTGCTTTTCGGGTCGGAAGGGCGAGATTCAAATACAAGGTGAAGCCCCCGGCAGTCACTGGGTCCCTGGAGTTTGAGAGAGTGTTCCGCGCACAGTAAGCCATGTGTCCACCCTCAGGAGCTGTGCCTGCCTCACACACACAATTCCTAGTTGAGGGAGGAATTCTGTGGAGGCCTGGAGGTCCTCGGCGATGCCCAGCCACAAGAATCACCCTTCCCAGCGAAGACCTGCTCATGGCCTTGGAGACTGGAAGTGTCCAGTGTGGGGCATCTCGGCCCAGCTTTAGCACAGATGCAGCAGAGTATATTTACCTCAGAGGCTGAGATCTTAGCAGAAACTTCTCTGTCTCTCAAGCAGGGCAAATGAGAAATCTCTCCAGGTCTCAAGGTCCGCAGGGCTTTGGATCATCTTGAGTTCCTTGCTTTTTTTAGACCCACAGAGAACATTCTGCCATAAATACTGTGGATTTGCCTGTTGCAAGGTGCTAGAATTCCCTATATATTTTGTCCCCCAAATTAAGTACTTTAAATACATTGCGTGTATCACCATTTCTACTTTGCTGGGTACTTTTGTTACTATTTTGGGATTTTTCCTTTACATCCATGCATGAGGCTGGCCTGCAGTTTACCTCTCTTGTACGTTCCACGTCCCACTCTGGTATCAAGATGATACTAGTTTCAAATGAGGCAGAAGAGTCACCCTGTTCTGTCTTCTTAGATAATTTTAATTAAGTTGAAAAAGGATGTTCCTTCTAATGTGTGTAAACTTGGCTTCAAACTATCTGGACCGGGTATTTTTCTTGTGGAAAAACTTTGGACTATGAGGTTTTCTTTCCTTGATGATTATTGGACAGTGCTGGCTGTTTTTCCTCTCAACTTTAATTTTGGCAATTCATGACTTTGAGCTGACGTCACTGGTGTCTTGTTCATTCACTGGCTCCAAGGAGGATTTGCAGATAGTTTCCTGGGTGAATACTACTAGTAGTCCATGAGTTAATTTTTTTTGGTTTTTTGAGACAGGGTCTCACTATGTAGTTGAGATTGACCTGGAACTCACTATGTAGCCCAGGCTGGTCTCGAACTCACAGTGATCCTCCTGCCTCAGCCTCTGGAGTGCTGGGATTACAGGCATGTGCCACCACACCCGGCTCCAAGTTTCTTCTTATGGTCTGTTTAGCCTTTGTCTTTCATTTTTATTCATTAAGTAAAAGTATCCATTAAATATTTATTGAACATCTAAGTGTATTGAGGCTTGGCCTGTATCAGTCATCATATCAGGCACCTTGCCCATTTGGAGTTTAGCTGATAGCTGAGGAAGAGTGAAAATAAACCACAAACACTGTATTACAAAAAAATATGTGCTAAGGAAAAAGAAAAGGAGAGCCTTGTGAGAGGGCTGGAGCTGGGGTGTGTCACGCTGTGAAATGGGGTGGTCGTTTAAGGCAGCACTTGAGCAACGGCTTCAGGCGAAGGAGTTGGCCACATGCACGCGTGGAGAAAAAGTTCTCAGAGAAGCAAGGAATCCAGGGATAGGACTCTCCTTGGGAACCCGCTTGGGGGCCCAGCAGGAGGTCAGGACAGGAGAGGAGGCCACCAGCGAGGAGAGGGCAGGAGGCAAAGACAGAGCATTATGGGTGCCCCTCACTAGGGTCCAGGCCACTGTGAGGGCTCTGTCTTTCTCTCTGAGGGAACTGGAAAGTCGTAGAGTTCAGGCAGAGGAATAACCTGATCTTCTGTGTCCAAACGGTCACAGTGTTTCCACTTTGCTGAGAGCAGTCTGCGTGGAGTCATTAGTAGAAGCAGGGTTCAGTGACAAGGCCACGGCAGTGGTCCAGGCGACAGATGCAGTGGGGGGAGCCAGGGAGATAGACAGCAGAGGAGGTGATGAGGGGTGGTCCTGTTTGGGTGCATATTGAGGGCAGAACCAGAGAATTTCATGACATAATGAATGTTTGGGGCCTGCGTATCCCAGAGGATGGAAATACCATTAAGTGAGATGGATAAAGCTACGGGAGAGGAATCAGGAGATTCAGTGTTAACGTATTTGTGATATGACTTATGTTGCAGCCAAGGTGCCTTGGTTACTTTTCTTATTGCTGGGGCAAAATACCTGACACTTAATAACTTGAGGGAGGAAAGATTTATTTCAGCTCACAGTTTGCAGAGGTTTTAGTCCCAAGCCGGCTGGTTCCAAGGCAGGGGTGGCAGGACAGAGGAGCACTGCAGAGAAGAATCAGTCCATGCCAGGGTATGCAGCAAGCAGTGAAGCAGCAGAACAGCAGCATCCTGCCTTTTCCTTTTGTCTCACCCAGCTACAACCCTATTGGATGGTGCCACCCACATCCAGGTGGGCCTTCCTGCTATCCATACCCAGAACTATGCTAAGCCAATCAGTGAACTAATTTAGTTATCACACTCATAGTCCATATTTACACAATCTTAATCCACATTCGCACACCCCAGATCCAGGCACCTCTGAAAAGCCCCACCTATGAGCATGTGAAGCTTTGGGGAGACATCTAGATTTGAACCCTAACACAAGGGGATGCCGTAAGCACTATGGGCTACAGGGCTGTCCGATTGTTTGTTGTTAAGTCAAAAGCAGAGGAGCACACTGTTATTTACTCATTGAGAGGGAGAGAGAGAGGGAGAGGGAGAGTGTGTAAGTAGGCTGCTGGATATACAAATCTGCATTTTAGGAGAGATCTGAGCTGCAGATAGAAATAGATCTTCATCAGGAAGATGTTTTACTTGTTTTTGCTTTGTTGCGTTTGTTTTGAGTCAGAGTTTCACTATGTAGTTCAGGTTGAATTTGAACTCACCATGTAGCCCAGGCTGGCCTCCAACTCATGGCAATCCTCCTGTCTCAGCCTCCCAAGAGCTGAGATTACCGGCGTGCACCACCACGCCAGGCAGAAATGTGTTTTATTAATTAATTAAATTATTTTTGGTATCGGTGATCGAACTCAGGACCTTGCGCTTGCGAGGCAGGCGGTGGAACCACTGATCTAAATTCCCAGCCCAGAAATGTGTTTTAAATCATGAGACTGGATGAGAACATAAGGGTGTGGTGGGTGTAAGTAAAGAAGACAGCGGACCAAGGACTGAATCTGGAGTCTCTGGCGTTGAGAATTTGGGATGATGACAAGGGGCAGCGTAGTGAGCTGAGCAAAAGAGATTTTAGAGGCAGGTGGTCCTTGACTGGTTACCTGTGCAACTAGGAAAATGACCCTGGAGAGTGAGTTGGGAGCCCCAGTGCATGGCTGGGGTTACCGAGAAGCTGGCTCACCAAGGGTGATTGGCTGGAGGCACTTTCTTCCTGGGGGTTCCAGGTGTCAGGGTTGCTAGGTCATCTTTCTGGCACCATTTTGTTTCTCTAGCAAAGACTTTTAAATTTTTGTCCAGTACTAGGGATTAAACCCTCGCACTAAGCTGCATCCCAGCCCTGTTTCTATTTTTGAGACGCGATCTTGTTAAGTTGCCCAGGTTAGGTTAGAACTTGTGATCCTCTCGGCTCAGCCTCCCAGAGCGCGGGGATTGCAGCTGTGTACCACCATGCTTGGTGTGTAGAGAGGGCTCTAAGTCTTCCTCAGGAGTGGGGCCGTGAGGGTGCGGATGGCAGTGCTGGGCCTGACCGCTGGGAGTTGGGAGATAAAGGCAGAAGGTCTTCCACTGAGCAGCGCGGGGATTGTCGCTGTTCGCAGTGGACAATGGTACCCTCACCCCCACCCAATCCGGGAGTCCCCCAGAGAGTCTCTGACTCAGTTTCTCCAGCTCTTGTGATGGGCGAGTGGTCCTTGTATGGTCTTTCAGCCAGCTCCTCTATGTCAGCCTCTGGCCCCCCACTCCCGGGCCTTTCTGGGGCACCCTTGGCCTGAGTCTTCCCTGGCTCTTTCCTCTGCCGGCGTTTAGCTAGCAGCTCCCTGCTTTTGCCTGCTCAGCTCTTGCCCTTCTGGGCCCGTTTTTCCTCAGAACCCTGCCAATATCTCTCTTCCCTTCTTTTTGCTCTAGATGGCGTGTGCCTATTTTAAAATTCTTTTACCAGTGTTACAGTGAGGCATCGGGAGTAAAAAGAAATAAACGTGGGTCAGTTTGCCACACTTAGGAAGAAGTCCCGGTAATAGTTTCTTGATGTCCCTTGGACACGCATTCCTTGGCCCCCTCAACAGAGAGCTCATGTGCAGAGCTTTTGGCGTTGGTGGCATCCATCTAGAATTGGGGAGCCTCTGTTCCCTTGGGGTTTATCGCTAACCCTTTAATGAATGAATTAATTAATTTTGGATTCATAGCTGAGTTTTTTCTTTTTCTTTTTTCTTCTAATCCTTCATTTAGGACATGATAGTCTTTCTTCACTTGTAGTGATGTAAAAAAATTTTTTTTTTTACTAATTTTCACTTAAAAAAAACAGTTGATTTACACAAAACTAGTAAATGGTACGCAGAGAGGCTGAAATTTTGACAGTGATGGGTCTGTGTGTGAATTTCGGGAGACACCACACTATTTATAAAAATCATCACAGGAGGAAATTTCAGATCTTCCCTCTTTGTCTTTCAGGATCTGAGAACTTCTGGTTGGGGAAGTTAGGCTTCCAGCAGGCTAAATCCCCAGGCCACTTCTTGATTCTATTTTTGTTCTCACAGTTTCCACAAATTTGATTTTCTTTCAAGTTATTGCTCTCTCCCGCCTCTGCTATATCTGGACTCCTCTTGCCCTAGAAATAAAGCTGGGTACCGTTTCCAAATATTTCTCTTAAGTTGCTATTTATAAAGTAAGTATACAAACTCAGTTCCTTGGCTACAAACTAAAACAAAAACAATTCCCTTTACTTTGTTTGGTTAATACCAGCAGAACAGAGAGGGGTTGGAAAAGAATAATATCCCTCAAATATCTGGGTGGGTTTTGAGCCATCACGTGCTGTTTCTTGGATATCCTACAGCATAAGCAAGGTTCTTGCCTTAGACTTGAAGGTTTTGGAGAAATCTGGCCAAATCAGATTATAGTCATTGCCAGGGTGGCCGTTTTGACCTTCTCTGAGGTGGATGAGGCCGAAGACCCCCGACCGGCCAGTTCTTTCCAGAGTCCCTTTGGTGATCTC